AGGCAGAGGGATGAAAGAGGCTAACTCAGGTGTCCGTTAGGGTGCATCCAGTGCGAACCAGTGAAACCCTAGGAGCAGGTATCAGCCGAGGGGCTCGTCCTCACTACCTAAAAGCAGCACCAGCCTGGGGTTACATGGAGGCTCAAAGATGCCCAGCAAGACCCAGATTCACCCACATTTCAGTGTAGCCCTCCTCGGTGTACCGGCTTTTTGCTCTTTGTGTGTCATCATGTGATCAAAAGATGGCTGCTGCGGCGCCAAACATCTCATCCACTCACAGCCACATTCATGATAGGAGGAAGAGGCTAGGGAGACTCAGGGGAATTCTTCCAGCGTCTGTCCTGAAGCGCTTGAGCATATGTCCCTTAGCCCATTTGGGCTGCTGTAACAGAGTATGAAAGACTGGGTGGCAGATAACTACAGAAACTTATTTCTCACGTTTCTGAAGGCTGAAAGTCTGAGATCAGGGTGCCAGCATGGTCAGGTGCTGGTGAGAGCCCTCTCCCAGTTGCAGACGACCAACTTACTGTTACATCCTCACACGGCAGCAAGAGGGAAAGAGAGCTCTCTGGGGTTCCTTTTATAAGACCATTAATCCCGTTCTTGGGGGCTCCACCCTCATGACCGAATCACCTCCCAAAGGCCCCCACCACCTAATACAATCAGGGGTATTAAGTTAGGGTATCAGTGTACAAATTTGAGGGGCACAAGCATTCAGTCCATAGCAGTCCCCTGTTCGCACTGACTTTGTTGCTGGGCTGGTCACCCCCATCTGTGAGGAGGACTGGGGAAGTGCCTGGCAAAGGGGATTAGGATAACCATTGTCCATTTACACTGGGGTCGCTGAGGGGCTAGGGGCCAGAATCTCTGTCCACCTCCCACAGCATCAGGGCTCTGGTAGCAGGGAAGACAGGTGGTTGGAAGGGAGGAATGGCCATTAGGTGGGCAATGATCAGTGCTGTCACGTGTCACACGTTGGCAAACTTGAGGTTCCACGGAGCTCAGTGTGCTGAGGGTGGTGGGATGGGAGGCTGGCCAGACAAGAATTTGAATAGAATGCTTAGTCTGGGACTTTAAGCTGAGAGCAGCCCACCCAAGCATTCTGGACCTGGGTTTGGTTCATATTTTAGATCTAGCCCTCCAGCAGCACGGAGCACGCTCACTCACTGGGAGACAGAGACACCCCAAGGATGGTCATGTCATTGTCACTTTCCATTTGGGCAAGGCTGCGGGTCCCTGCGGGTGGAGGCTGTGCCTTATTCACGTCACTGTCCTTAGTGCCTTCCACAGTGCTGCTCCCAACAAAAAGAATGGCTGAAAGGGTGAATGAATGAATGAATGAGTGAGTGACATTCTCAGCCTCACCCAGCATCAGTCCCCTCTGTGTCATGGGATCAGTAACAACAGTTCTTGCCTTTCAGGGCTATTCTGGGAATCAAATGAGCTGATGGCTGCCACGATGCTTAAAAAAAGAGGAAGGCTGCAGGCAGACAGGAGGGGCAGATAGGGAGTGCTGGTGGCCTTGAACCTTCACGGTGCCAAGCGCAGACCCCCGCCTGCTGGCACCACTCACCACCGGACCACACGGAACAGCCTGGAGGTGCCTGTACAGCCGTCCTGGATTTTCAGAAGAGGAGGCAAGGAAACACCTGGAGCAGCCCAGTGAGTCCTGCCAAAGACAGCGATGGGAGAGTGATGAGGATAAACAGCTGTCTGTCTCTGGTAACGCAATTAGGAGCTAAAATATTAAACGCTTTACGACAGGACATATATCTCCCGCATAACGAGCTGCCTCTTGCAAAAGCAAGCATTGTCCAGGCAGGAGGCAGGCAGGCCCATGTCCCAGACCCAGAAGGCCCTGAGGAGGGCAAGAAACTCACGCTCCCTCTCCCTTTGGGGAGCTCCCTGGCCATCGTCATCATCAGCTCAGTCACCGCTTACTGAGTCAGTGCGGTGTGCCCGGAGTGCTGTCAGGGACTAGCTCATAGGCTGAACCGCTTTATTTTCAAGGGGGAAACGTGGAGTAAGGGAGACAGGCAGAAACCAGAGCTCAAAAATATTAAGAAACTTGCCTGTCGTCAACCACCTCGCAAGAGGCAAGCTGCTCCTTGAGAGCTACTGTCCTTTGTAGGAAATCAGCCCAGAAGATGGAGATGGAGTGACTTAGGAGGCGGGGAGGGCAAAATCTGGCTTGTCCTGTGATGTCCCGAGTGCCCTGCTATGCCCCTGGTATCCCAGGCGTCAGGGCAGGTGGGCAAGAGGCTGCTTTGAGAACGAAATACCCAGTTTTCCAGGCTGCCTGTGTCTCAGGGAGATGTCTTGCCACCTCTTTACTTTGATGGTAAATGGCTGATTACTCTAATGGGCTTTGAGTTGACACAGATTTGTGATAAGAATGGTGGAATTTCAGGCATCAGCAGAGTCAGGACACCTCATAGCACTTCTGAAAACATGCTTCTTAGGCAGCCAAACATTTCTGGGCACGTGTTTCCAGAGCCCTGCCGGTGGCTGAATCAGGGTGGCCACCCATCTCGTGGTGGGAGGGGCGGATAAGAAGGGAGGTGATGCAGCCCTCACACGAGGTGGGAGGATGTTTGCCAAAGCCCGTTTGCACTCTTCATCTCATTTTCTTTTCTCGAGAATCTTGTGAGAGAAATGCAATTTCAACCCATTTTAGAGATATGGAAACTGGAGGCTGAAGACTTTTAAAAGGGTATGTATGGCCCAAGAGACAAGACCATATTTGTTGAGTACTGGCTCTGCACTAAGCTTTGGCTGTAACAGACAGAGGGATTGGTGTATGCAAAGTCCCTGAGGTAGGAAGGACCTGCCGCTTTCCTGGAGTGGAGAGGTGGCCAGTGTGTTTGTGGGAAGGTGAGCAAGACCCCTACCCTTGCAAGGGCCCCTGTGATGAGCTGCACCTTCTGGTGGGTTCTGACTTCATTCTAGAGCCCTCTCCAAGCAGCCAGGGACCTGGTCAGCCCTGGCTTTGAGCAGCTCCCCCCAATCCTGCTGCAAGGAAGACCCCTCTCTGACTGACCCCCTAATCTGTCAGGACTCCCCCAGTGTGCAGAGAGCCCCACCAGTGTGGCCCCACGCTCCCTGCCCAGTGTGGTCCCTTCACGTCCCTGGGACCACCCCCTCCTGGAGTCTGTCTCTGTCTCCACATGGCAGCATTCCTAGAAGCCAGGGAGTGGGGGCCTGAGGGGCCAGCCGAGGGAGGGCTGTGCAGGTTTTCACGAGCGTTACATCTGGAGAGCGAGACCGGAATGTTTGTGTCTGAAATTTAGCTAATATCCCAGGAATTTCTCCTGGCGTTTCAGAAGGTTCCTAGGGGGACTGCAAAGCTGGGATGTCTGGGTTCTGGGGGCGGGCTGGCCTCGCTCAAAGCCTCTTTGTCTCCATGGCTCTGCCTGTGTCGATCTGGCTGTGCATCTGAGTGTCTTTGTGTGTGTGTCTGAGTATCTCCCTGTGTGTGTGTCTTCCTGTTTCGAGTGGATATGTGTGTCTGTGTGCATGCCAGTGTGGGTCTGGGTGTGGCTGTGTGTCTGTGTGTGTGTTCCTGTGTGGGCCAGTGAATGTGTGCAAGTCCGTGTGTACTTGAGCATCTTTGTCTGCGTCATGGTATAGCTGGAGTCTGTGTCTCTCAGTTTCCTGGTGTGTTGGTAGGTCACCGAGTGCCTGGCCACGGACCTGTCCCTCTCTGCCCTTGTCCTTTGTGAAGAGATGACTCTCTGGTACTCTAGACTTCTGCTCCTGTCTCTCCCTCACCACCCTTGGGCTGGGCCAGGCCTCACCCTCTCTGTGAGTAGGGAGTGGACAGTAGGGGGAAAGGAGAAAGTGTTAGTAAGAGGCAGGCGGGGGCAGGAAGGAGAGAGTCAGAGAAAAAGGCTCCTCTGTGAGTCTGTGTGGGTCTAAGTGGGTCTGTGTGTATGTGAGTGCGTGCACGCACATGTGTGTGGTGTGTGTGGCCTCTGGCTATCTGTCTGGCCAGGGACAAATCCTTGCAGGTCAAGCCTTGCCTTCAGTCCCACCACAGGGAGACAGTGCCCTTGAGCTACACTTAGGTTCTCTAGGCTCTGCAGCCTGAGTCATGGCCCACCCTCTTGTCCTCTCCTCTCAGCCCATTTCATCACAAAGCGGTTCAGAACACATCCTCCAGCCGAGTCCCCCTCTCCCCCTCCCCCGCTGTCATTTGCCTCTCCCCCATAGCTCACTGCAGTGCCCTGGCCCCCACCCTCCTGTCCTGCATGCACCCACGGCCACATCACTGCCTAGAGCATCTCACTCACGGCTCACCTGCTCAAAGAGCATCCAGCCCCTCCCTCTCCACTCACAAACTTCACGGAACCAAACCCACCAATCCTGCCGGATGTCTCCCCAGACAGCCCAGCCCAGGGAAAGCCGCCTTCCCCTGATCCCCTTGCATTTTGCCTGCTCGCCTCTCTGATGGTCACCCCTTGGACTGGAGTTGTCCACCTCACCGACTCCTCCCTCCCTGCAGACAGGAAGGGACAATGTGTAATTCAACTCTAGTTTCCCACCACACTGGGTCCACGGCTTGGCACTCAGTAATCTCCACAATACCTGCCTCTGGATGAGCAGATAGCTCCCAGAGCCCCCTCAGGCAGATAACTAAGCCGGGGGACTTGATTTCCCACAGTTCCCTGACAGCCGGTATATTTTCTGTCTCCTTTAATGTATCACCACCTCCTAAGACACAGCACTCCAGTTCCCACCTCCGAACTCCCACATGGCCGCGGTACCCTGGATCTGCACTGATGCTCAGCATCCTTAAAGCCCAGTGTAGGCCACCTCTCAGCAGCATTGCTGACTGCCTGGCCTGCTGGCCTCACTGCCCCAAGAGCCCCCATTGAAGAGTGAGGCACCCCTGGGGGTCTCCCAACTCCGTCAGGGGGCCTCATCGCCCCACCACTCTGAAAACATCTCAAACACAGGGATAATCTTTTTATTTAAAATTTTTAATTCTTTATGCAGTGTATTAGTTTTCTAGGGCTGTTGTAACAAATTATCCCAAATTGGGTGGCTTAAACAGAAATTCATTCTCTCACAGTTCTGAAAGCCAGAAGTCCAAAACCAAGGTGTCCGCAGGGCCTCAATCCTTCCAGAGGTTCCAGGGGAGAGCCTTCCTTGCGTCTTCCAGTTGCTGGTGGCCCTTAGCAATCCCTGGCATTCCGTGGCTTGTAGACACATCACTCCAGTCTCTGCCTCCATCTCCACACAGCTTTCCCCCGTGTGTCTCAAATCTCTATCTCCTTATAAGGACACCAGTCAGTGGATTTAGGGCCCACCCTAAACCCAGGATGATCTCATCTCAGGATTCTTAACTCAATTACATCTGCGAAGGCCCTGTTCCCAAATAAGGGAATATCCCACACTCACAGGTACTGGGGGTGAGGACTTGGCCATATCTTTTGGGGAGACACAATTTAACCCACTTCGTGGAGTTATTGTGCTAAAAACTCAAAAACAGCTCTTTGGCCTAAGTAGTTGATGATAACAAGTAACAGAGACCCCAGGATTTTCAGGGGTGGAAGTCACCTAACACACCGGGCAAGGGGTCCCCCAGGTGGTCTCCACATTGGCTGGAACACCTGCAGGGACAGGTAGCACGTCACCTGCTGGGCATGCGCAGCTGGGGAGGGAGCCTGGGTGAGTGGCGAGGCTGAGGCTGCCCGACCACGGGCAGGAAGGGTAAGGCCTGCATTCAAGGCTCCTCCCATTTTCCTGAATGCTCGAGGTTCCTGCGCTTTTTGACATCATAGAGTGGATCCTGGCAAAATGAAGAAGAATAGCTCAGGGAGTGAAAGGGAGCAAGGCTCTCCCTAGGACAGAAACGTGAACGGTGCGGTGGCTGAGTCCTGGTTGCAGATCTCCATGCGAATCCACACTTACAGAGCGGGCCTGAGGGACGCCGGCCTTCTGGCTCTGTGGGCATTCCCTGCACATGGAGTCGCCAGTGCTGGCCCTGCACAGTCTCAAGATGACTGTGAGATCCGTGTAACCTGTGCACCTGAGCATCGTGTGTCTGGGAAGGCCACAGCTGTTTCCACAGCAAAGGAAGTTGCAACCTCTGGGGCCCAGCGGGAACAGGAGCAGGCAGCTTGCTTCAGATGAGTTCCTTAACCCCTGGGAGATCTGAAAGGCAGGCAAATAGGCCAGTGGCTTTATTGTGCACCTACTATGTGCCACGCGTTCTGTGAGGTCATGGCCCACAGGGTCTCATTCAACTGTGCCAAGGGTCCTGCCTGGCCCAGGGGTTAGATACTCATGTTTTGTTTTGTTTTTTCAGAAAAGGAAAGTGAAGCATAAAAATTGACCATCGCCAGAAGGCTTTTGAGTGTCTACAAAGAAATCCCCAAAAAGTGGTTTGAGGTGAGGACCAAGGTGAGGAAGGGGCAGGTTAAGAAACTCAAGTTCATGATGAGACCTGGATAGGAGTCCTGGAGTCAAAATAAATAACTAAGCCACTGACTTCCCTGGAGAGGACTCAGGCCACTTTACGTTATTCCACTGGCTTGGGAGCCAAAACAGCTGCATTTTATCATTCCTCAGAAATCCATAAAAGGGTTGGAAAATGCTGGTGCTTGGGGGGAAAATGGATGAGAATTTAAATTTAATTGTGGGCCCCTGCTGCTCTGTGATGGGGCCGGGAGATATCACCTAGGGGGCCCTGGGGTCGCCTGCAGAGAAGTAGAAAGAAATGTTTTGCCTCCAGGGCTCCAGCCCACATCAGTGCTGAGTCTTTCCTGCCTCCAGCCCCAGGATCACTCTGACCACACCCTCCTCTGGCCTCCTGCAGCCTCTGTCCCCTCCCTCCCCAGGCCCAGGTTGCTGTCCTGCATCTGCGAGCGGGAAGCCTGGAAGCTCCTTGCGGCTGGCTGGGTTCTCCTGGCCATCTCAGGCCTGCACACAGCCCTTCTGTCCTGACAAAGGCCCTGCCTGGGCTTCCAAGCTCATCAACCAGGCTGAGCTTCAAGGCTGGGCTTGGCTCGGCCTCAGGTGCTAACTTTGTGAATCGCAGAATGTCCAAGCTGCTGAGTGTGTAAGAGACTCAAGAACTCACGAGCTTCATTGTCCTGCAATGTCTCTGAGCATGTAAATTACCCGGGGCCCAGGGACAGTGCAGGTTCTGATCCAGTGGTCTGAAACCCAGCCCTTCCAGCAGACCCTCCGATGCTGACACTTGGTAGACTCCACCTTGAGTCCCAAGGCTCTTGGTCATTGATTACGTAAACAGGCCCAGAAAGGAGCAGAAAGTTGCCTGAAGTTGCACCATGAAAGAGCGGAGCTGAGAGGTACTCCCACCGGCTCTTCTGCCCCTGCTTCAGGATTCACCAACTCTAATGCCTCAAAGGATTGGGAAGGCAGGAAGACAGGTGCCAGCAAAGCTCCCGGGGGCTGCCTGCCTTGCACGCTGCATGTGGCAGGGACCAGCTTTCCTGCTCCCGAATGCTGGGGCCAGAACAGGTCACCTCCCATCCCAGCCCCGCTCAGGAGAGGGGCCCCAGGCACCAAGCTGTGCTCTCTGAAAGGCAGTGTGAAGAACGTGGGCTTTACAGTCTGGCAGACTTGGGTGCCAACACCAGCCAGCTCCACGCACTCTTGACTGTAACCTCTCCCAGCCTCAGTTCCCTTATATATAAAGTGGAGATAATAACGGCAGGGACCCCACAGAAATGCTGTGCTTGTGTAATGAGAGGCAGAGGGTAGTCCTTGGTCCAGGGCAGTGGCTCAGCCAAGAGGGGCCCCTCTGCTGGTGCCTGTTCCTCCTGATTGCCGCTCTCCACACCCTGCCCACTGCCAGGGACTCATAAATACTGTCCATACTGCCCACGGTCCATTTGGTACTAAGAGCCCTTTACCCTGGCTGGGTCTCCTCTCCTACCGCTCCTGAGTTCCTGCTTCATTTTTCACTCAAGCTCTGGCTTTTTCCGGAGATGCCTGGCTCCAGAGCAGAAGCTTCTCAGCCGACCATGGAAGAGTGGAAGATAGATTTCATCTCAAATCCAAGCTCTGCTAGACTGGAAGTGGCTGCCTGGAGTACTCTGGCCTAAGAGGAGCTCTGAGACAGATCCACATTCAGGGGGAGAAAGTGCTGTGCTCAATTAGTAATGTCTGCCATGGGCTCAGAAGTGGGGGGCAATGTGTGCTACTTACCGTCCCTTGGAGAACGGACTTGCATTTCAGGCAGCTCTTCTGGCTGATCTTCACAATCCACATTCTTATTCAGTGAATCCTCAAAGCCACACTGTGAAGCCAGCGGTAGCACCAACAACACGGGAGAGGTGAGAGCGTCTGAGACACAAGGAGGTGCCGTGACATGCCCAGAGTCCCCAGCAAGCACCAAAGGTAGGACAAGGGCCTAGTTTTGCCTGAGCCCCCTTCCCATGCCTTGCCTGCTGGCCTCATTTCTCCCCATCCTGGAACGGCTAAGGTCTGGGGCAGGGGGCTATCCCTTGGCATCCCTGGACCTGTCCCAGTGCAGAGTTTGGGTCTCAACTCTCTAAACTTGTCCACACATATCTCAGAGAGAACACAGGCTTTGATCTCTGCAGACCAGCCTGCCTCACCCTGGGAAGTGCCTCCCCATTTCCAGGCCTCAGTCACCCCATTTATACAGTGTGAGGAGTGGTGCCTCCTCCTCCGGATGGAGAACCAGCAGGAAGCGCTGGCTTCCCAGGAGACAGCTCTCAGCTCTCACCTCTGTCCTTTTCTTCCCTTCCCTCCCCAGCAGATCTAACCCCTGCCAGCTCTCAGAGAAGGGCCTCTGACCCCTCTCCAGCCTCCCCCAGAGCTGTGGCTCATTTACGGGCCTGTAAACAGCCCCAGGAGCAGCGTCCTGGTGGCCTGCAGCGGGAGGGGGGGGCGAGGAGGAACTTCGCACAGGCCCACCCCCGCCACCTTGGGATGCTGCCAAGGCCACCACCAGCAGGAAAACATTTCTGCCCCTCAGGCCACCCAGCAAGGCCAGGCTGGGCCCTGGCTGCCGTTGTGCCCCAGGGTCCGGGGTCAGCGCCCTCTCCCATGTGCCAGGTGACTCAAACCGCAGCTTCTGCCCGGTAGGTCACGGCGGCTGGTGGCACCTGCCCCGCACCCCGTCACCTGGCGGGAGAGAGAGGGATGAGATAACGTCTGGACCGGGATCCGGCGTGGGGAAAGAAAAGCGCTTCGCACACGCGGCTGAGCCTGCACTTGTTTATTTATTTGTGTTTGCGGCTCTCAGCCCAGCTCGGCACACCGGATCATGGCGGGGAGAAGCTCATGTCTCTCCTACAGCCTGACTTCCCAGGGGAAGGTCGTGGGGTTTCAGTTCTGGGCTTGCCCAGAAAAGAGCAGCACTCTGGTCCGAAGCCCGCGAGGCCAAAGGAAGTCTTTGCAGCAGGAAAGACGATACGCCACCCAAGACCAACAAACTTTCTGGGCGAGGTGAGGGGGTCCAAGGAGCAAGGTTGAGACCGCAAAGGAAAAAAACAGAGCACTAATTCAGCACCTACTGTGTCTTAAGTAGTCTGCTGGAGATTTCATCTTGTTCATTTATTCTTAAAATGATCAAACTGGGTCAGCGTTCCCTGTTCCATCTGAGAGTGTTTAAACAGCATCAGTGGTTCTGACTTAATGGTTTGGGGGTGGGAGGCAGTATTTTTTTTAAGCCCTGCAGAGCCTTCCAACATGTAGCCAGGGTGAGAACCATGGCCCAAGGCGGTTCTTCTCAAACTTCAGCCTTCACAGATCTTGTTGAAATACAGATCTCAGTTCAGCAGGGCTGGGGTAGGGCTGAGTGTCTATATTTCTGCCTGGCTCCAGGGGATGCCCGAGCTGCTGGTCTTTGGACCACACTTTGAGTAGCAAGGGTGCAGCCTGTCAGCTCCTCAACAGCGAAGACTCTCACTGATTCATTGCTGGATCCAAAGCACCACTAACAGCACTGGGACATAGTAGCTGCAGAATGAATATTTGTCAAAGGCATAAAGAAATGAACAAGGCTTGGAGGCAAGTGTTGCCTGATTGCCATTTTATGCTCAAGAAAGTTGAGTTTGATGCCAGACCATAAGGAAAAGAGGCTTGGGGAGGCGCTGAACTGAGTGTGGGGTTGCAATTAAGTGACCATGGGCTCTGGGGCTCAGGGATGACAGTGGGGAAGGAAGGACTCAGGCTCTGGGGTTTGACTGCCCCAGTCCAAATCCTGCCTCCAGCACCACCAGGCTACTGGACCCAGGAGATGGGGCTGCAAGCTGGGTGACTGTGTGCGAGTGTCTCATTCGCTTGGTTTGTTACCTGAAAGGTGTGAGCAATCATATTTGTAATTCCAAAGGGTTATTTTGAGGGTTAAATGAGATGATTCACAGATGGGAGTTTAGATGATACTAAAAGTGTTTGTTTACTGTCTTAGACGGTAATAGTTTTGCTTTCTTTTTTAAAATTTTATACCCTGTAGCAATACACACTGAAGTATTGATAGGTGAAATGACACGATGTCTAGGATTTGCTTTAGACTTTCCAGTAGACAGGGAGAGAGAAGACAGAAAATTCTGGAGGAGGAGGAAGAGGAGGAAAAGAGAAGTTAGAAGGGATGGATGAAAAAAGGACAAACATCAGTCATCATTACTGAAGCTGGGTGATGGGCCCTAGGGGGTTCGTGACTCTCCTGTCTGTTTTTGTCCACCCTGGACCATTTCCACCATCAAAGGTTCACAATAATAAATTAGAAAGTGATGGAGCGGGTAACATGCTTGGCCTGACTCCTGATTCCTAGTAAGTGATCAGCCTCTGCAAAAGTCAGCTCCTGTCCCTTCAAGATGAGCCAGGCTCTGGCCATGAAGGAGATGTGGGGGGCCACCAGGTATGTCCCTCAACCCTGAGGGACGTACCCAGTGTCCCGTTGTCGGCAGGGGGAAAGATGAGATTTGAAACCAGGCCTCCAGAGCGCTCAGTCAGCTGGGCCACACGGCTGGAAGAGCCAGGTTAGTTTGCTTTCTGGAACAATCAGCAGAAGGGGCGATGCTAAAAATAATAACCCTTACTGAGGACGGCCTATGCCAGGCCCTTTGCATACATTACATTATTTAATCCCCACAAAACCCTATGAGGTAGGTGTCCTTTCCATTTCCTAAATGAGCAAACAAAGACTCAGATTGCTGGGGTGTCTGGGCCAGGGACACAATGTCTGGTGCTGGACATCCGCAGTACGCAGGGGCAGCCCCTCTGTCCAGCCATCCCCTCATCTGCGTTATTTAATGTGCTTCCCACTTTGGTTCAGGGGTCTCACACTGGTCTTAGCTCTCGGGGGTGCATCTTGCCTGCCCTGCTTTGGGCTGCCCCCAGTGCCTGCACAACCAGGGTAGATCCACAGTCAGTGCCTCTTGCCTGCCTGCTGGGCCCCAGCAAGGATGCTCAGGCACTCCAAGTGGACAAGCCCTCCCGCCCTTCCCCTCTTTGTCCGAACCCAGAGGGGTGGGATTTCCGTCCCCAGCCGGGCTGTCACAGGGCCACAGCCTCCCACTCCCCTGGGCTGCACACCAAGTCCTGCTGCAAACCCCACCATGAATGGTAGCCATTCTTCATCCAAACTCCAGCTCACCATCGCCCCGCAGCCTGGGAAGGGAGACCTCAGCCTTCCCCAGGCCTGTAAACACCAAGCCACACACGCAGCAGGGCCCCAGCAGCCAATAAATCTTGGCCTCAGGGTTCTCTTAAAGAGGCAGAGCCGGCACAGACCCACCCCAGCCCTAGGCAGCCGCAGTGGCACTGTGCAGCCAGCATGCCACCCAGCCTCTCCCCTGCCCACCCCAATGTGAAGAGAGACAAAGCAGACATTTAGCAGGCATTCTCCCAGTAAGCTTTTTCTCTTGCTTTATAACATCTAACTTTTCTTTCTTCTTTTTCCCCCTGTGCTGCTCACCCTGGGGATAGGACAACAAGTAGACCTGCTGGTGGGAATGAGCACATGATTGATTCATTTTCTGGAAGCTGGAGCCCCCGGGCCCCTGGCGGGAGTCAGGTGGGGAGGCAGAGATCTCTGGGCTTTGCACCCAGGGAAGCCGAGGGCACAGTCGGGGTCGGACAGGAGGCAAGCCTAGCCCAGATGCTTGTTCTCCAGAAGCAGGCTGTCCCGATTAGGCATGGTGGCCACTGGGAAGGAGACTCTGAGGCCCACAGTACGGGGAGAGGAGCCACATGTGGCCTTAGGGATGACAGCCTTTCATTCCACCCCAGGGAAGAGCCAGGCCACTCGCTGGGGAGTCCGCAGCAGAGCTGGGGCTAGACCTTTCTCCGCTAGAGATGTTTTGGTTTGTCTGTTCTTTGGATATGAAGGTACCTTTATGAGACGAGTCTGACACTTACTTGCATTCTCCTAGAAATAGTATGTTCAGTGATTTCTGGAATCAGCTCCCCATGTGTTCACAAACCCACCAGACAAACGTCATTCCCAGGCCCCCAACCCTACCCGGCACCCCTGCCGTGTGTATCCTGGCAAACACCTGGCGCCGTTAAGTATCAGGTGCTGGCGGAAACATGGCACCTGCCCTAAGGAAGCACACAGTTTGGGTGCAAGTTGAGGATTCTCCTGCCTGCCTCAACTCAGTGCCCTTTAATCACCTGCACTGGGCACCCTGGGTAGACCTTCACTGTTGCCCACGACGATCAGGATGGGAAGACAGAGGGGCTTGGTAAGAGAGAGAGGGCACGGAAGGCTCCCCTTCTCGAGAGGAGGGATACTGGCTGGTATGGGATCAACTGGATTCCAAGAGTCATAGAACAAAACAGGCTGGGCAGAACAGCTCCCGCCAGCACAGCGGCAGGAAAACCCAGGGCGCCTGCATTCTGGGCAAAAGGAGTGAGAGGACTGTTTCAGGAGGAGGAGTGACTCTTGAGGTCACTGGTCCCAGACCACTTTCTGGCCTTTGACTCCATCAAGGAACAGTGTCCTCTGCACCTACCCTGGAATCCCAAACTCTAGTTTCACAGATGAGTGAGCTGAGGCCACGATGGAGAAGGTAACCGCCCAAGGTCACCTGGCTAATTGGAGTCAATCCAGATCAGAAGAGGTGCCCCTGAGCCTTGCCCTGGTTGTGTGATTTTTATTATCCCCAGGTATGTGGGAATGGGGTGTTTGCTTGCATTTTGAAGAAATGATTAACTTCTGACCTGCTGACCTTCATTACCTGGTTGCCAGAGTGCTAATTAGCCACTTGGCTGGTCACCTGGGCCAAGGAGGGCTTGGGAAAGAGCCAAAGCCCTCTGCCCCCC